CGTGGAACCTGCGGACCGCGTCCAAGCCCAGCGCCTCGTCCAAAGCTTGCACACTGACCGGTTCCCAGCGAATCCTCACGAAGTCGGGGTCCGTGTGCTTCGGCGGGGACCCGCCCTCCTCGCCCTGCTCGAAGCCCTCCTCGAAGCCCTCGTCGCCCTCCTCGAAGCCCTCGTCGCTGGAGTCGGCATCGCCTCCAGAAGTTGCCTCGGCGGACCTGGAAGCGCCATCCTCGCCTCCGTCGTTGGAGCCGGCACCGCCCCCAGAACTGGAGGCCTCGGCTGAGCCAGCTTGGCCCTCTCCATTGTTGGAGCCGGCACCGCCCCCAGAACTGGAGGCCTCGGCTGAGCCAGCTTGACCCCCAGAACCGCCGGAGTTCGAAGTCGAGCCACCTGCAGCTTGCAACTCTTTGACGTGGGCCTCTGCATCCAGGAACTTTCGGACCGGAGGCCAAAGCCAGTGCCGCCCACAGAACACGCCCCATCCGCGCGCGCTCAAAGTATGGCGGCGCACCCATATGTCCTGCAGGGCCTTGGTGGCGAGCTCCGACCGCTCGCTGCCCTGGTTCTTGTCGGGGTGGATGAGCAGAATCATCTTGCGGTAGGCGGCCTTCACGATTGCATCGCGAGAACTCGGAGTCCGCTGCGGCTGCCCCAGCTCCGGCACCAGCTTGCAGCCGAGGCACGGAAAGGACGAGGCCCTGTGCCGCCAAGCGCAGCGTCTCCTGCGCTTCCTCCAAGGAGGTCATCCCGCCGCAGTCCTAGCAACTCCTGTGGCTGAGCTCGAGTGCAAAATGCTGCAACGACAGCTTTCACAGAGGCGCCGAAGTTGTCAGCACGGTCAGTTCTCGGCTCCAGGCAATGCAGGCAATGAGACGCCAAGCCGCGACGAGACAACGCAGAGGACGGACCTGAGAGCGAAAAGGGGGGGCCGGGGGCCTCCCGGGAAAGGCTCGGGAGCACAGGGCACTCCAGTCTTACAGGCGGGACGGGAGGCGGCAACGACCACTCCTGCACTCATACACTCGCACGACAGAAGAAAAACCCACAAACCCTGAACCCTTCCAACACCAAAGTTCCCGGCAAGCACTCTGAGTGACAAGCTCCGCGGATCGATGAAGCCGAGGACCTGGGCGGAGGCGAGCGGAAGGGGTGTCGGGACTCCTACGGGTCAGGGCTGCAGCGCGCTACACTCCACGCAGGCTGACGACCCTTCTTTGTTTCCCCAAGTCCGCGAGCTTCGGCTCTACGAGGCTCTACATCTGCCTTGCCAGGTCCATCTCGCGTCGCAGCTGTGCTTCCTCACTGGGCGTGAGCTGCAGTTCCAGGCTCAACGAGCGCACCGTGTATGAGCGTCCTGTGGCATAGTAGGGGAGCAGCTGTACGTGCACCCGGGAGATCACCCTCATGAAGCCGCTGTTCTCCAGCGCGTCGATGCCGCGCTGGTTGATCCCTCTGCCCGGGAGGTAGAGCTCGGGGCGATTGAACAGCGCCACTGCCAGGCATACGGCGCGGCCACGCGCCGTCGTATCGACCATGTCGCCGTCGAACCATGTGACAACAAGCGCTTCGGTGGCTCGCAGGGCAACCAAAAACGCAGCTTCAGAAGCCTAGCACTCCCACAGGCAGAGCACCGGACGCTTCGAAGGCGAAGAGGTGCCGTCGCAGAAAACCTGGGCGAGCGAGGAAGGGGCCGGGGCTCCGGGAATGGGGGAATGCAGGGCACTCTAGGTTGACGGGAGGGGTCAGCAGTGCAGGGCCCTCCTGTGCGCACTCAGCCATAGAACCCCACCAAGCCCGAAGACACCCGAAACGACGAGCTTCTAGGAGCGAGGCGGCGACGAAGGTGCAGACCTGGGCGGGTGGCGAGGAAGGTTGGGGTCAGGGCGGGAGGCCTACGGGGAAAGGGCGAAGACAGCAATGCAGGGCAGTGAAAGGCAGCCTAGGGGAAACCGAAGCGGTAGGGAGGGGGAAACCTCGAAATCCAACAAACCCGGAGCGCAAACGAACTGAGGCCCCGACGCGATCCCGCCCGCCCCGCAACCGCCCGGCAACCCCCGCCCCTACAAGCTTGAACCTGCGAGCGCGGCAAAACAGAAATGAGCGCAGGGCCGAAGGGAGGGGGGCTGCGGGGTCAGGGCGGCAAGGCAGAACTCACATGAACGCACACTCACTTGCAAAGCACTCACTGCAAAAGGGAACCCCGAAGTCAAAGAAAAGCACTCGACTCACTGTTTAAAAACCCTCGGGCAGCACCGGTGGCGTGTTGATCATAGCCAAAAGGGGCGAGGCTGTGAACTGATGCTACACTTGATCATAGCCAAAAGGTCGAGGAGGCCCGACTCAGCCTTTCTTCTCGCCCTCAGCCTTGAGCTTGTCTTCCTTCTTCTTCGCGGCCCAGGCGATGCCGGCCGCTTTGGCGGCGGGCGAAGGCTTGCTCTTGTCGTCCTTTTTCACGCCCTTGACCTTGGGGTCGTCCTCCTTCTTCTTGCCCTCGGCCTTCGGCTTGTCGAGGTCATACAAGTCCTGGCTCGAGATCGAGCGGATCGCGCCGCACAAGATCTCTTTGATCTTTTCCAACTGCACTTCTTCGTCCTCGGAGTCGTGCGCCGACTGTTCCCCTTCGAAGGACAGCTGGCGCAGATCCCGCCAGGAAAGCCTGCGCAAAAGCTTGGCCATCTGAGTTTTCTCAGACGCAGTCAACATGCCGATGTGCTGCCGCGCTAATTTGCTAATGCGAAATGCTACCTTCGAGGGGGCGGGCGCGGAATGACAAGTTAGAAGCAGGGCCGCTGGAGGGGAGCCTACGGGTTGGGGACGCAGGGCACTCGCAGGGCAGACGGGGATCAAAGCCTACCGCGGGGGCCGAAGGGGTTAGGGTGCCCTGAATGCCCTGAACCAAACCAAAAAGAAGCAACCCCAGCAAAAGCACTCTAGCAAAATGTTACTGCAAAAGTCGGCGGGCCTAGCTAGAATACCACTACAAAACGAAAAAAAATGGCATCAGCGAGCAAAGGCGAGCATCAGTGAGCATCCTAAACCCCCCACCACCCTCTGTGGGTCCCTTCGATCCGGTCCCGGGCGGCCACAGGGTCGGACGCCGATCCACACTGCATGCCCCGACCACAGCAATCGTGAGCCAAACCTAGGGAACGTCCCACCGAAATCGTGCTCTCCCCACAATTTGGTGTGAAACGGCCCGGCAAAGCCTTTTCGGCCATGCGCGGGCCTTCTCGGGGCTGGCTGGTGCTGTTTTGGCCGACGGACCCGGCGAGGTGTGTGAAACATAGGCAGGGTGCATGCCGAAAATTGGCGCCGAGTCCTTCCGTGATGCTCGGCGATTCCGTGTGGCTGTGTTCGACCCATCCTAAACCCTCCCCGACCACGTTCCGGGGCTGGCTGGCACCGTTTTGACAGGCAACCGCAAATCGGCCGGATTCGTGCTCAAACCCTAGGCGGGGCACACTGGGAAATCGGACTTTCGCCAGCGTGTGATCTGCTCGCAAAACGGGCGGCCGTCGGGGGTCGTCGGGGCGCACCCTCCCCGGGCGGCGTCGAAATCCAAAAAAATCGGGGTGCGGCATGGTGTTTTAGGG